GTTCCAAGGACATTTGAGTGCTGGCTGGCATTCTGAATGCAAGAGGGACTCTTCAAACATGGAAGAGCATGATCCAAACGGCACTGAAGGGAGGCGGGCCCAGCAGCACAGGGGAGATGGCTGAGCTGGGATGAGCAATTTGGAGGGCAGTAAGGAATGGGGGTCCCTGCCAATGAGTGTGGACACTGGGCAGACAGAAAGAGAGTGGAAAGCACCAGCAACGTGTCAGAGGCAGCTGGCTGCCTAGAGAGGGAGGATTCCAAGGCAGCTGAAACCTGGGACACCACTAAGCACGAGAGGAAATGCAGGAGGAGGAGCAGGTCTGGTGGGGGAGAAAGTAACGGGGCAGGCCTACAGCATCAACAGGAGATGACAAATAGGAGTCCTTTCTGCAACTGGATCTGGCTTTCCAGAGAGCACTGAAGAGGGATCCCTTGTAGCGGGGAGGCGGCTGGGGACAGGAGAGGACTGGCTGCCCGGTGAAACTCTGGTCCTGTATTAAGGTCTCCAGCTCTACCCCCAACAATTCTGCAATGCAACAAGTTCTGAAAACAAGCGTGTTTAGTTATGTACTTATTTGGAGTGTCAGGCAAACTCACGTGGCCACAAAACTGACAGGAGGCCTCACATTATCTCCACCCATTCCACCGAGAGTAAAAAGCCATGCACTCTGCTACAGAAATATTCCTGCATTAGATCATGGTGTGCTGTCCAAGTTCCCATTGAGAATGTTATAGCACAGTGCTTGCCCAGTATAGACACGCTAGTGTCTTTCTAAAATCTCCCAAATTCTGAATTCCAGAGCACACCTGGCTGCAAGAGGCCTAGGTAAGATATTTTGGAACTGCATTTACTTTCTGAAAACAGCAAGCTGAGCAATAATCCTAAGAGCCGATGATTACTGAGGGCTTCCTCTATGCCCAGCACACTTCCACATACTTTAGTTTACTGTTCACAACAGGTGAAATGGGAACTCTGATTACCTCTATTTTACCGACAAAAGATTTGATGGCCAGGTAGGTGAGCAGTAACAGGTACTTACTACAGGCAGAAGGACTCCTGAGACCGTGACCTTTACTACTACAGCATACTGCCTGCAAATTAATTTGTAAAACTACTTAGAAAAGATCTGCTCAATCCTTGTATTAGATTAATGAATAGATGGGGCTCCTGGGTTGCTCAGTAGTTGAGCATCCGACTTCAGTTCAGGTCATGATCTCATAGTTTGTGAGTTTGAGCCCTGTGGGTTTGAACTCTGCAAAGGGCTCTGTGCTGACAACTCAGAGCCTGGAGTCTGATTCAGATTCTGTGTGTGTGTCTCTCTCTCTGCCTCTCCCCTACTTATGCTCTCTCTCTCTCCCTCTCTCAAAAATAACATTAAAGATTTGTGAAGAACAAGGAACAAATACCTTTTACTACATTTCCACAAATGACACAAGGCCATGGTCCACCTAGTTTTCTTTCATTTATATTCTAGCAAAGCAGAGGGAACATGTGTGGGCAATACAGTCCATATACAAAGTTTTCCATAGTTTTCCTTACCAGGTAAAGAAGCTGGGGATTGAAGCAGCAAAGTGGAGCTGAAAGGAACATAAACTCCGGAGTCTTATTTCTTTGGTTCTACCATCTCATAGCTTATGGCCTTGGTCCCTTAATTAACCTCTCTGTGCCTCAGTTTTCCCTTCTGTAGAATGGGATTAATTTCAAACTATATCATAGAGTTTGAATGGTTTGAGATAACTCATATAAAGTCTTTGGAGCATGCCAGGCTGATAGTGAAAGCTCAATAAGCTTAGTGTATCTACTTGGCAAGGCTCCCACGAGGCTAGAATTCTTGTCGGGGTTTTTTGATACCGGAAGGTTTTATATATTTCTCTGAATTTAGGGTTATCATTTACCAAGTACAAATCCTGTTCTCTTCCAGCTTTTGCAGGTTCACAGAAATCTGTCCAATTTAAAGATCCTTTCCAGTCCCTTAGTCAAAAGACAGATTACTTTAGGTCTATCTGTGAATAGCCCTGATTTGGAAGGATGCTTTTCACTTAGTTTTCTCGACAGTGTTTTCTTTGGCTGTGTCATTAGTTAGACATGTGTCTGTACCCATGCTGCATTTTGGACTCACCCCTCAGAGTGAGCCCCAGCAGGCCTGCCTGCCTGGAGCACAAGGATTAAGCCTGAGGTGCGCTGCTTCATTCTGGGTGGATTCCTGTATCGTCTCTGGACATGGGGACGGAATTCTAATTCTATTCTATCTTATTCCTAAGTTATACTTTGAACTGGAAAGAGTGGTTGAGTTTTGTCCAAATTCTTTAGTCATGAGGAGGTTCACCACAGGCTTTACACAGAGTCTGCACTGAGTAAGTGTCATGTGGCACAGGATGTGACCAATGACCACAGAATGGAGCTGCTCCAGAAGTGTTGTGTTCTGCTCGGCGACCCTGGGTTGCCATGGTAATACATTCCATGGAGAGTGGTTTGTCAAATGTTAAGTGATGCTCATCTTCTCTGATCAGAATAGGTTGTTCTAGTTTAGGGAAAATTCATTGTCTCTGAGTCTGTTTTCCTTGTTTGGCTCTTATCTTCCAGTCGGCAGTACGGCTAACTTAGCTTGCCTTGATTCTGACATAAAGAAGGAAAATGGAAGAATCCAGCAAATACTTAAATGGGATGGTTGGCAAAGTAAAACTAGGGCTTATTCTTGCAGCAGAGTAGCTGATAATTGCCTTTATTATTCTAGGCCAGATTGAGGTCATTGTCTGATAAAATTGGACAATTTAGGAAATGGGAAAAAATGAACACAACATTTAAGTTTATTTAGATACAGCTTGTACATTTTATTTTAATTTCTTATCAACTTTCGGCGTTTAATAAAATACAACAGGGAAAATGGAGAGGAGATGGAAGAGAGTCTGGCAAATAGGGAAGCATATATTAAGGAAAATAATCTTTGACACATTAAGTATATCTTCTACTTAAAACAGCAAGTGGTGGAAAAGCAAGTATAAATAATTTTGCATCAGAGCAAATACATACTATTTTATTTGCGGAATATAACACAGTAGTGATTTTATGACACTGTCATTCCATTGTCACATGCTGCACTCCTAATTCTGGCCTCTCTAATTTCATGAATATTTACTCTAGTATGAAAGGAAGAAAAGAAAAAATAAACAAAGAAACAAAAAAAAAACAAGGAAAGGAGGAAGGAAAAAAGGAAGTAAAGAAGAAAGAAATAGGAAGGAAGGGAGGGGAGAAGGGAAGGAAAAGGGAAGGAGGGAGGGCAAGGGGGCAAAGAGAGGGAAGGAGGAAGGAAAAGAAAACTGCATACTCCACAGGTTTACCACAGGGATCCAACCTCAGTTCAGTAGAATTTAGTTCATCAGGTTCTCTTTTCTTTACCTTGATCAATCATTTGGGCTAAAGTCATTCTTAATTCCATCATCCCTTTCCTCCCCTTCTTTTCCATCACACTTGAATTTTATCAATTCTACCTAAAGTATATCAAATTGAAGAAAACACTATGGCAGCAGCCCCTGAGGACAGAGCTCATGTCTAATTCAACTTTGTATTTTTCACAGCACATCACAGAATCCATCTCACCTCACCAGCAATCAATACCCATGTTATTTATTGGATAAATATGTGTTGTTGTTGTTTTTTGAGAAGGTCAGTATACATTTAGCCCTTTCTCTGCATTTGGAAAGGGGTGTCCTCTGTCTGGATTATCCAGTATCTGTATGACCCTGGGTTAGTCCTGTTCCCTCTCTGGTCCTCAGTATGGCCTTCTATGGTGGTCAGGAATATTTAAACCCCTCTCAACTGCTGTTGGTGGCCAACAAGTCCTGTTCCCTATGCTTGAAGCTCTTCAGCTACCTTTGTTGTCATCAGAACTTTGTCAAGAGCAAAGTCCATAACCCAAGTAAAACATTCTACTTAAAAAAAATTTTTTTTAGGGGCGCCTGGGTGGCTTAGTCGGTTAAGCGTCCGACTTTCGCTTAGGTCATGATCTCGCGGTTCGTGGGTTTGAGCCCCACGTCGGGCTGTGTGCTGACTGCCAGCTCAGAGCCTGGAGCCTGTTTCAGAGTCTGTGACTCCCTCTCTCTCTGACCCTCCCCTGCTCACGCTGTCTCTCTCTCTCTCCTAGAAATAAATAAAAAACATTTTAAAAAATTAAAAAAGAATTTTTAAATATTTATTCATTTTTTGAGACAGAGGGAGAGAGAGAGAGAAATGGAGCACAAGTGGGAGAGGAGTAGAGAGAGAGAGAGACAGAATGTGCAGACTCCAGGCTCTGAGTTGTCAACATCAAGCCTGACGTGGGGCTCAAACTCATGAACCATGAGACCATGACCTGAGCCTAAGTTGGACACTTAACTGCTATGTTATCCAGGCACCCCCAAGTAAAATATTCTCAAGAGGGGGAGAAAGGAAATTATTTGCTCAGGTAAATGAAGAGTCTGAAGAATTGTGGTAAGGAAGGTGTAACCTCAGGCTTGTCTGAATTCAAGTACTAAAACCATGCTACCAAAATCAGTCCCCCTCCATCTCTGTGTCTCTTTGCTTCTGTCTTTCTCTACCTCTGCATGTCTTCTTCCTCTATTTTTCTCCAAGTGAGTTCTCTCCAAGTAGAGGCCAAGACCAGGCTGGAGTAACTCTGGTAGAAAGAGAATTTCTTTCCCCAAAATTCCATCCAAAGTCCCATGCCTGAATCTCACTGGCCTGGAGAAGTCACCTGTCTATCCTTTCACCAATCACTCTAAGCTGCAAGTATTTGGTCCTGTACCCATTCCTAGGGTGGAGGAGAGGGTTAGCCTCATGGAACCACATGGAATCAAAATGGGGATGGGGTGATTTCTGAAGTAAAAGGGGTATTGGCACAGAGCACCAGAAACTGTCTTCTACAAAGCCCTTTATGACATCACCAGCTAATGCACAATGACCTGTGGGGCTCCCTTTGGCCAGAGACTTAGTTCTTTGTCCCTCTCCCCAACCACTTCTGGTATTCTGAAGCTGAACAGACCTCAGACAATGACCTTCCCAGGCTAGTCCCAGAAAAAGAGGCAAAACTTCCTGGAAAGCTATACTTTTCCCTCAAGGGATTAAAGAAAGGCAAGAATTTGGGCCTATGCTAGATTCATCAGGTCAGTCCCTCAAACAGCTAGCTGTTTTTGAGTAGTTAGTGGATGTGCAGTATGCTGCCCAGACTCCCACTCACTCCCCCAGTTTTCAGGCATATCCTCTGTCTGACAGCTCACAGCTGAATTTCCCTGGGAATCACCTTCGTGCAAATGGAGCTACTTCATCTAAGGCCAAGCCGCTATGTGGGCAGGCCCACACTGAGTGACAGGATTACACAGCTCTGGCCTTCTCACCCCAAATTAGGACATTCTGAAGCACCCCCTCCGCCAGCACCCTGGCTCCAGAATTCACTGTGGCATCAGTTGAGGTCTTTGTCACATTGCTTTGCTGTTTAACTTCTTCCTCTTCCCATTTTCCTCCTCTGCCTCTGATCTGCACCCATAGGGGCTGTGCCCAAGAGCTCTCCTCAGTAATCCTCCTGCATGCAAATCTCTCAAGTCTCAGAGTCTCTTTCTGGGAAACCAGCCTAAGATAATTTATGTATAAAACCTGAAAGTCCTGGGATTTATCCACTACTGAAGCAAGATAATTTTGTCAGCAAAATCTCAAGCTTTAAAATCAGACAATCTCAGTTTCTTTTTTTTTTTTTAATGTTTATTTATTTATTTTTGAGAAAGACAGAATAGGCAGGGGAGGGGCAGAGAGAGGGGGAGAGAGAATTCCAAGCAGACTCTGTGCTGTCAGCGCAGAACAGGATGCAGGACTCAAACTCACAAACTGTGAGGTCATGACCTGAGCTGAAGCCAAGAGTCAGATGCTTAAGTGACTGAGCCACCCATGTATCCCCAGACAATTCCAGTTTCAAATTTGTCACTTGCTAGCTGTGGGGGTTTAGGCAAGTTACTTAACACTTCTTCCTATCTTTAAAAGATGGGGATATTGATAACACCATCTCCAAAGATGGAAGGGAGTTTTAAGGGAGATATTCATGTGTAAAATGTCTGGTGTAGGATCTGGCCTTAGGAAGGGCCCAGTGTATGACTGTTATTATTTTATAATCCCGCAGTATGGCTAAATGAATATGATTCCAATATAGACATGAAAACATACCAATGGTCAATACCCAGTTTCAGTAACTGTTCACACTGCTTGTGAGTCTGAAACTCAAGTTGAGCTCTCTTCCTGGAGGGTAAATGGATAATATATTAGAAGTCCCTAAAATGCTCAGGACCCAGAGTATCCGACTGGAGGCATTTTATCTAATGAAATCACTATAGTCATGATCTCACATTGATGAACTGGGATATTTAAAGTATTAGTATTTTTTATTTTTTTATCTAAAAATTTTTTTAATGTTTATTCATTTTTGGGAGACAGAGAGGGACAGACTCTAGCAGGAAAGGGGCAGAGAGAGAGGGAGACACAAAATCTGAAGTACTCTCCAGGCTCTGAGCTGTCACCACAGAGCCTGACATGGGGCTTATACTCAAGAACTGTGAGATCATAACATGAGCCAAAGTTGAATGCTTAACTGACTAAGCCACCTGGGCACCCCATAAATGATTAGCATTTTTTTAAAACAAAAATCGGAATTACCTAATGCCAAATAACAGAGAACTGTTTCAATCACTTATAATATAGGCATGTGATAAAATAACATGCAGCTATTAAAACTATGCTGTAGGGGCACCTGGGTGGCTCAGTAGGTTAAGCATTCACTCTTGATTTCGGCTTAGGTCATGACTTCATGGTTTTGTGAGTTTAAGCCCTGCATCTGGCTCTGCGCTGACAGCACAGATCCTGCTTGGGGTTCTCCCTGCTTGCATTGCCTCTTTCTCAAAAATAAGTAAATATTTAAAAAACTATATGCTGTAGAAACCAAGTTAATGATATGGAAATAAAATTATGACAATTCTTAGTGGAAAAAAAATCCCACAAAATAGTAGTACATAGGCTGTGAGCCTAACTTTTAAAACTTTAGAAGGAGTATGCAAAGACACACAGAAATACACATGTACACACATTCCTTCAGTCATATACAATCTGGAGAAAAGGCTAGATGATCACAAGTAAAAGTTTAAGATGTGAGCAGTCATTGTTCCTGAGTGGACTACTGGCAATATTGATTTTCTCCTTTAGGATTTTCTGTATGTTGAAAATATTCTACAGTGAACATTTATTCACTTTGTAATTTTTTTCAATGTTATCCTTAAATGCCATCCACTGGATTAAAATGAGAACCCCAAGTGCTAATGGCTAACTACCATTTCCTCCAGAGAGGTCTGACTTCTCAAACTTGAAATGCATTTTAGAAATGCCAACTAAATGAGGCACACACACACAGTCCCTAAGAAAAACAAAGTATGAATACAGCACTATTTCCAAGAAATCCCTGTCCACTATAATTAATTCAGAGAAGAAATAACCAGAGCTAATATTGTCCATTCAAGATACATAACTCACTTGCTCTCAATAATAGGTTCAACATGCTCAGCAGGACAAGAAGTTGATCATTACACATGTCTGCAGAATCTATGTAACGTGCTTATTTTCCTGTACTTACCTTCTGCTGGCCTTTTTTCTGAGCCTAAATTTAAGACCCACAGTTATGACAATTAGAGTAGTGAGCTGAAATTAGAAATTTCCTGGAAAATCCAGGGCAGAGGTCCTCATGGTCATTCAATTTAGGAGCTGCAGCTGTGGACATCACAGACTGTCCCTTCCTCATCCTGTCCTATAACATGAATCTTTTTCTCCCTTTTCTCTCTTATTATTCTTAGTCCGATGTCCTTCTGTATTCTCTGCATTTCTTTTCCTCTCCTAGCACAGAGCTGCTCATGGGCATGGATTTTCTCCACCAAGGGCTTCTGAAGCTGTGGAAAGCCCTTCCTAAGCCTGTGCCATAGATCAGAGAAGCTACAAGAAGCCCTGGGCACAGTCAGCAACCAAATCAAGTTCCACACTCCTTTCCTTGCAGCAATCATGAAGCTCTAGCATGTACAGCTCCTTCCTTTCTCACTTGAAAAGCAAGTTACTAAGCAATACTGAATAAACCTTTCTGATGCATATGGACAGATCTTAACAACACTCTTCACGTGATACTCTGCATCAATCTTGTCTCTGTTAAGCCATCCATTAGCATCCATGAACAAAAATCCATGAGCCACCTCTGTTACTTATTCCCTTGGCTCAGAAGCATCCTTGGTTGCAAGCAGGGAGCACCTGTTGGCGCATTAGCCTGGGAGAGGCAGGAAAGAAAGCTGACTCTCAAGTTTAGCCACAAAAATGGTCTTCAAATTGACTTACAATTGGACTAAGCTAGAATATATAGGAAAACAGAGAAGTCATAAGACTAAAGATCTTACTCTCTCCAGTAGAACAGAATGAGGGCAACAGGAAACTAATGCTTAGTGAAACAATGTGGGGCTGGCCAATTTTACTGCCTGTGTTCCTCTGCTGGGGGGGGGTGGGGAGTGGTATTCACAAGGCTGTTTAAATCAAGCTGTGAGTCTTTAATCCTGCTGTCATTTTTGCTGTGATTAAAATCCCAATAGGCTACATCATATGCAGTTTTCATTTTCCAGGGCAGAACGAAATATCTTAATAAAAACAGATAACCATGCATGTTGACTCTGGGATGAGGTCAAGATTAAATGAATGGAGGAAAAATGCTGTAAAGGAGTATTTAACTTAATGTGAAAATGGCGTAGAAAATCACATTTGTGTAGGTACAAGAACCAAACAGGCTTAGATGTCTATTGGACTCAACAGACAGGGAGAAGATGGAAATACGGGAAAGATTAAAGAGCTCAGTAAATAGATTAGTCATTTTGTAATTAGGGTGGAGTACAAAGTAGAGGCCAAGTGCCTTCTACCTGGGTTTGTTGTGACTGATTAAAAAAATGTAAATTGTATATTTTTGAGAAATAACTTTTTCAGTAAGACTTCATACTGTCATTGTGCATTTAATTTTCTTAACATATCTTCTTTATAAATGCAGCTATAGCTATGGAATATTAATGCAATTCTGCAAGCAACTGGTACTCCAACAGACAAGTTCTCCCCTCAGCTTTCTCGCAAGTTTTCCTGATAGCATTCTGGATTGTCTGAGATGAGAAAATGCATGCTTCTCCTCCATGTTGTAGGTCCTGTGTGCGGGAACCCGTAGGGGAGAAACAATGCAGCCTCATTTCCGACAAAACAGACCAGGGGAGCCCTTTTACTCTTTCACTGCTCCCAGAGATTAAAGTATTTAAACACTCAATTCGCCAAATGCCACTCACTAATGGAAAACTTCTCTCCCCTTATTTCTTTCTGCATGAACTTGGACTATCAGCCAGTCTTCTGTGCCTATTTTTCCTAGGCCCACCATATCAGCCAGCCTGACTTATGACATTGCAAAGTGCATTCTTCTCCTTGGCCAGTTGGCCTCCTCCTGCCAGACCCCTTCACCCCCCCACACACACACACCTCTGCTACTGCTGCTCCTCTCTGCTGAAACAGGTTCCCCCCTCCACCTATCATGGTAAAGGCCAGCTACCTTTAGGTTGGGCACTTTCTATGCTTTATCTCACTTAAACTTTGCAACAGCCTCTCTAGATTTGAAACTAGGTCTAGTGATGCCACAATGTGAGCCCTTAACCACCCTCTCCTCCCATCTCTCTGACCCTCGTGTAACATCTGGGGTCTGGCTCAGGCCTGGCTCTTCTTGAAAGTTCGAGCTGGTGAGCCCAGCCCACATTATTCCCACACATTCTGCTGGTCAGAACCACTACAGAGATGAGCCTGGAATTGTTATGTGATTGCTCTGAAAGTATTTGCTTCACCTCCCAATTCAAATTTCACCTCCTCAGGGGAAGAGGATGCCTCCCATAAAACCCCTTATACACATATGCATCCATTCCATCCACATACACACAGCTCTTAGCTGTTTGATGTACATTTTAGTAAGGCTCTAAGTACACACCCTGAAGAGGGAGAGTATTATCTGTCCCTCCCTATTCTCCTCCTCCCCCTCCCTGAGAAGAGGAAATAGTAGTCAGATAGGATTGATTTCTAACACTCTGAGCCTGCCCTTTTGTTCCTCCTAAGCCTTGTGGCTCCGGTGGTGAATGAAGGCAGAGGCCATGCTCATGTGGAAGGAGGCTCAGCTACGGTGGTGAATGAAGGCAGAGGCCATGCTCATGTGGAAGGAGGCTCAGCTATCTTGCTCTCTCTTTTCTTCCAACACATGGGCTTGGTTACTCTTGCTTCCTTGTCTGCTGTCACATGTGTCTGGATAGAGACTGGACAGATTCAGGAATTTAGGCTGACCTAAAGATTTTGTACTGTCTACTAGGCCCTTACGCTAGGTTGGATGCTTAAGCCAAGCACAGGCCAGCCACTATATATAGCTCTTCATTGAGTCTGAACCAGCCAATAATAAACATAAATATTAAAGTAGTACATTATTACCTACTTGTCTCCTATATGTAGTCTGCTCTTTGTTTTAAAGTTTTTTAATGTTTATTTATTTTTGAAAGACAGAACAGAGTATGAGTGGGGGAGGGGCAGAGAGAGAGAGAGAGACACAGAATCCAAAGCAGGCTCCAGGCTCGGAGCTCTCAGTACAGAGCCCAACGTGGGGCTTGAACTCACAGACTGCAAGATCATGACCCTATTTGAAGTTGGACGCTAATAAACTGAGTCACCTAGGCACCCCTGTATGTAGTCTGCTTTTAAGGACCTCGAGATGTAAGGCTCCTATTCCTAGCCAAATACCATTTAACAGTGCCCCAAACCTCATGATCTGTCCCACACTCCCTTTCATAAGTTCTTGATTATTCACTTCCTTCTCTTAATTCATAGGACTTTTAAAGGAAGATTTACTAGAACTGACCTCTGTGGAAATTTGTGGTATACACATGTTTTGTACGTGTCTTCTTTGCAAATAATAGTCAACAAAATAACATTAACCATGAGCTTTCACAATAGTCTGATCCTTCCAAGAAGATGCCACTAGGGATGTGTGGGGACTTTCTTAGGGAAATGGAATAAGGAAGAAGCCAGAGGCTGGGTGAGTCATCAGACTGTGATGCAAGTCAGACCCCTGGTGAGAGAGAGGAGAGAAAGTTGGGTAGCAATGTCTGAGACTGCCACAAAGTCAAAGGAAAAAGTCCAGCAAACCCTTTGGGGAGCTCTCGAGCCAAAGGTGGCTGTCAGGAGCAGATAGCTGCTCATGGGAAGTGTGCCTCAGGGCAAAATCGCGCCCGTTTTTTCACAGAGTAGCATATACGGCCTTGATTACACCCTGCAAAGTAAAAGAATGGTAAGATGCATTCTAGCTTCATTTCAGCTTCCATCTCAGGTCAACAAGTGTTGCTTGCCTTGACCTTTCCTTGCAAAACCATTCTCATTTCTTGTTTAGATTTCCATTTCCAAGCAGCAAAAGGAAACACACCTTTGAGATAAGAAGTACTTTGAAAGAAAAGCAGAACCACAGTTTCTTCTGGAAGGCTTCAAACTGGGCACATGCAGGCCGTCCAGAGCCCATTAGCTTGGGAAGTCTTAGGAAAATGCCAGCAACATTACCCCTTTTCCTAATGTTTCCTCCTCTAAAATAAACTGGGTTCCTGATACCTCACAACTCCTATTGATGGAAAAGTGTGACCAGGGGAGAGGGGGGCAAAGGACTCAAGGGATGTATGACATGTGAGGCCTGATTTTCCAACAAGGAAGCTGCCTGTGGCTCCTGTCACTTTGTGGCAGGAACTGCCAACAGGGTGCTATGGCCTCTGGAGCGTCCTCACGGTGAAGAGACACGATGCGCTCTGACTCCCCAGGCACAGCGACTTGCTAGGGTAGGGAAAGGTTTGCTATTTCGGTTAACTGTAGAAATGCAATTTAAAAAGTTAGAACTGTATAGAGCAAGCTGGTCCTCACCAAAATCCATGAGCTCTTTACTTCCCTGGCAAAACACTTTGCAGGAAGCTACTGTGGTCCTCTGACTAAGTTCCGGCCGGGAGAAAGTGAGTGGAAGGGATGTGTGTCGCTTTCAGGCCAGCTCATACTTCCAGTATGTGTTCCTTTCTCTTTTTCTCCATTGGCTGGTGGGCGGGAAAGAACTAGAACCTGGGTTCTAGTGGGGCCTGGGTTCCCAAATGACCAAAACTCACTTCCCTTAAGAGTCATGACCTGTTCTAGTCGGACTTTTCTACATGTTGACTGCATAGACAACAAGCTAAATGTAAAAATTCTATACTTCATAAAAAGCAATCATGCACATTCCAGAAAATGTTAATGTGTAAACAGGGTTCTAAATGTTATTAAAAAAAAAAAAAAAGCAGCTTTACTGAGGTATCATTGTTATACAAAAAACTCTTTGGACTTATTTAATGTCTACAATTTGATGAGTTTGGAGATTTGAATTTACTCATGAAACTGTCACCACAATCACGGTAATAAACATCGCCTCTTGCCCCTTTGTTTTTGTTTTGACAGAACCATAGACACGGATCATCTGCAACAGAGCCTTCGAAATTCTTACCACAAATGGATTACAAATTGCCAAGATGCTGACCCCTCAGCTCTATAGAGCCGATGCTGGCAAAGTCTCGAGCCCCATAACCCTGAATATGAGCAATACTATCTAGTTATGCCAGTTTGTTACCAGTGCTGCCATTTTACTACTATGCCCAGCAAGACACAAAAGTTGAGGAAGCATGGAGATGTATTAGGAATCTGTATCACAGACACTGAATCAATCAGGATGCTGTGGACTGAAGTGGCAGAGACACCAACTCAAACTGGCTTGACTGGTATGGAAATACATGAAAAGACCACGCAGAATTGGTTTAATGTTTAATACAGTCCTCACTGAACTCTCAATTTTGTCCTCAGTAGAGAATTTGTCCTCGGGTCCCTTCCCTTATGGTATCCAAGCAATTATGGCACTTTTAGTCTTTTTATATACAGCCTCTACATTGAAAGAGAGAGAAAGGAGAAAGAGAGAAAGAGAGGGAGGGAGGGAGAGAGAGAGAGAGGGAGGGAGGGAAGGAGGGAGAGAGAAGGAGAAGAAGGGAGGGTGAGGGAGAAGGAGGGGGGAGAGAGAGAGAGAGAGAGAGAGAGAGAGAGAGAGAGAGAGAAGGCTGCCATTTCTGTTGGCTGGCTCTTCAGATTAAGGACATTTCCTTAAGTCCCTGGCAGACCTCTTCTCACTCTGGACTGAAGTGAACCACGGGTCTCTTCCTGAGCCAGGGTGGCCAAGAGTATGTGACTACCCCCATTTATATCCTGATAATGCGAACTACCTGTAACTGTGCAGTCTGGGGATGCTATGGTGGTACTACCCGCTCCAGCCCATCTTGGACAATGATATGCATGAGGTCATGGGTGTGATGTAATAATATATTCCCTAATACAGATTTATTAAAACTTTACATATTAAATATTTTTACAGTTTGATCTACCACCAAATTGTGTTGACACCAGAGATAAACATAGCACACTTTGGCAATACTGAGCTTGACTGAAGAGGGAGAGAAAGAGAATGGTGATCAGTATGAAAGAACAGAGTATAGTCTATTGCAGGGACAATGACTCAGCTAGTTTGACTATAACAGAGAATTTGCTGAGAAATAGTGGGAAATGAGAACAAAAATCTGTAGACTGTAGAGGACCTTAAATTCCAGGTTAAGGAATTTTGCACAGGTCAATGCCAACCTTTCCAAGCTTTTCATCCTTAAATGATGGAAAAACTGTTTTATTAACACTACCTTGGCAGGTCTATGAAGAACTAGTTGAAGTAGGAAATCTTTGCAATAAGAAAGGAATAAAGGTAGCAAGACTGAGATACAGGAAGGGAACATTTCAAAGAGACAAGTGATGAGAGTGGCATGGAAATATGTGGCATGGAAAGAATGAGTAGCCTCAAGTGATTTCAAGATTTATTAGAATAGGCTCTCTAACATGGGAAAGAGAGTGTATTTTGGCTTATTTGGAGCTGCTGAGTGTGTGCATGTGTGTGTGTATGTGTGTGTGTGTTATACACATTTGTATTCTCACTCATTTTTTGGCTGATCAAGACTCAAGTTCCCTATCTAGCAGGCTTTTTAGGTCTTTCCTGCTACATCGCTGCTCTAAAACACAGAAGTCAGGAGTGGGAGCTTGATCTCAGACGTCGTTGAATAAGTACATCTGCCTAATTGGCCCTCAAAGTCAGACCCCATAATACACCCCAAGTCTCCTTCCCCCATCAAGATCAGATCTAGACATCTCCCTTCAGACCAAGAACCTACTCCACCTCCAACCCTGACCCCTAGAGGAGTCACATCCAACCTCCCTTGAGGATCTCCAATCCAGACCTCGCACCACGGAACCTGGATGAGTCTTCCACTCAGAGGACTGTCAGAGCCCTGTGAATACAAAACCTCCCTGATGCCTCCTGGGCATCTTCACAGAAGGGCAGACAAAGAGGCCGGTGCTGGGGAGGAGTTGCTAAGGGATCAGTCAACCTCAGTGCAGAACTGCACTGGCAGCCTTCCTGCTCACTCACTGTAGGAGATTTTACAATAATTTCCACCCTGTGTCCTGGATTCAGTAACTCCTGTTTCTTAGCATTGCTGGCTGTCAGCCAGAGCAGTGCTCAGGGAGCAGCTCCTGGCAGCTGCCGCCCAGAGTGGTGATGAACAGAGGCCCGACTGCATGTGGCTGCCACGCTGCTCCCACAGCTGTGGTTTTGGAAGTCAGGAGCGCGCCAGGTGGCTGTGCCTGGAACAAGGGCAGCAGAGCACTCGCACTCCCTTGCCAGGTGCTGGAGAGCTCAAGGTTCCAAATCGCTTGTCTCTAAGATGCCAAGAAACGTAGAATGGTCAGAATAACCTGGGAGGTCATTGCTCAAGAAATGTCTATGAATCTGGCTGATGCCACTTAAGCAAAACTGAGCCCTGGCTTATAAATATCCCCTCAATTCTCCTTTTCTGAGACTATTTCCTAAGGCTGGACATTATTAGAATATACACAGATACAGATGGTCAAGTCTAACTTCCTGTTTCTTAATCTTACTACTAGGATTAGAAACCCTGAATGCAAGTAGTAATAGTAGTAGTAGTAGTAGTAGTAGTAAAAGTAGCAGCAGCAGCAGCAGCAGCAGCAGCAGCAGTAGTAGGAGGAGGAGCAGCAGAGGCAGCAGCAGCAGCAGTAGAGTAACAGTAGTAGCTGGAGTAGTAGTGGTATAATAGTAGTAGTAATGTAATAAATATGATTATATCCAGACAATATGCCAGACACTTTAAATGTGTTATCTCATTAAATCAACACAAGCCTATGAATTACACACCATTCTCATCCACTCTAAAGATGAGAAAACAATTTAAAATGCTAAATGCCTTGCCTAATATAACAGCAAAAAAGTGGCAGAGCTAAGATTTGAACTAGGGTCGTCACACTCCAGAGCAAGAGCACTTAACGAGCACACAATTGGGACCATCTGTAGGAACTCAGCCTCACCCTGTAACCCACTTTCTTTCTGCAATGGCCAGATGTAAGGATTTCCTGTAGATAAGTATACATTAGCATACTGAAAAGCCTTCTTTCCTCTTAAAAGTAAAGGGGAAAACTGTCCAATACTGTTGGTGAAAGTGTAAATTAGGACCACCACTTTGGAAAACCACCCAGCATTATTTACTAAAGTCGAAAATTTGCATGTTCTGTGATTCAGCAGTTCTTCTCCTGGGAATATGCCCACTAAAGATGTGTGTGCATGCGCATCAGAAAGAATGTCCAAGAATGCTCGCAGCAGCAATGTTTGCATTAGCCCTGAACTGCAAAAAAATCCAAAAATCTACAAACAGGAGTAGGGCTACCCAAATGGGATCTATTCACACAATGGGATGCCGTAAAGCAATGAAGAGTACTCAACCCTATGTACAACCACATGCATGAATGCTGTGGTCAAGAAGTCAGACACCAAGAACACATGTTATGCAATTCAGTTTAAAATATGTCAAACACACAAGTAAACCATAGTGTTTAGAAAATCATACTTAGGGGATAAAATTATGAAGTAAAGCAAGGAAATGATTACCATAAAAGTCAGAAAAGTAGAGAGAGGGTGGGAAGAAGCCATAACGAGTGGAGACTGTCAGAGGGTTCGGGGTGCCAGAAAGTTCTGGCATATTTGCTTGAGAAGACACATGTAACTTGTTTTATATTAATTTTCCGTATGTCTGTGTATCCTACAGTAGAAATGGCTTAAAAACAGTTTTTAGGGAAGTAAATGCAAAATAAAAAATCAAATAATGGCACCTTTGCTTTCAAGCTGAGGCTAAAATATCTTGGTAAGCAGCCCATTTTAAGACAGATTTTATCGACAGAATCCACCACCTCTGGACTCACATCCACCCTCTATACTGGTCAGAAGTTCTCCCGCTCCCACCCCTTTTAATCATTAGTGTTTTTCTGGTTAAAGAAATGTTTCCTTGTTCACATTATAAGTGACTGTACTTAAGTATATTACTCTTAGAAGGAAATGATTGATTTTTCTGGTGTGCTCTTGTAGAAGTGATTGTGAGCTTTTTGAGTCACCCTTGAATCAAGGATGCTTCTGCAACAGGAAAATGGGAACAGCAGGTTTATGGTTTTAATGAACATATCCGAATAAAGGCTTGTCAGAATGAGAAACATAGGTAACCATGATACTAGGAAAGACACTGGGACAGAGCTGGGAAGGGGATGAAATTGGAGGAGGGACTGGGTATAGTCCCAACAGATGACCAGCTCAGGTGTTAAAGGCCACGATGCACAGGGGGTTGAAGCCTAGCTTCCCTTCTGTAGGTTTAAGACCCTAAGAAAGGGGCATCTGAGTGGCTCAGTTGGTTAAGCTTCTGATTTTGGCTCAGGTCATGATCTCACAGTTTATAGGTTCGAGCCCTGCATCAGGCCTTGTGCTAACAGCACACCTGGAGCCTGCTTCAGATTCTGTGTCTCCCTCTCTCTCTGCCCCTCCCCCTCTCACGCTCTGGCTTTGTCTCTCAAAAATAAAGAAACATTAAAAAAATTAAAAAATTAAAAAAAAAAAACCTAAGAAAGCACAGCAGTATATTCAGTTGGGACAACCCTAAACTCTAATTCTAAAAGACATGGCTTTTAAGCTAAGAGAAATCAGGACTGGTTAAAGATTATTTGAGTTCCAAGCTGAGTAACAGAGAAAAGTTAAGTGGTAGTTAAAAATCCCTGCCTCAGGTTCTGAGAAATTGCTGGCTACCTTGACCATGATTTTCACTCTTTTCCTCTGTTAGCAATCCCCTCACATTCCTAACCAAGTGAAATTTTATCCTCCTAGGAGAGGATAACTTCAAAATAACTCAATGAAATTGGTTCTATTTCTATTATCTCATTTTACTAAGGAGAAAACTAAGTAAGGCATAAAGGGTTGAGTAGTTTGTCTTATTACAAGCTGCAGTACAATCCTTCTGGGAATTGAAAAGTGTGCCATTTGAAATTAATCTCAGTTTTTCTCTCCTCCCTTTGTTTCTCTAAATCCTATCCTTCTTTCAATATCCACTTAAAATTCTACTTTCTTCATGAAGCATTCACTAATGGACTTACTCTTCTTTGAATTATGTATCTCCTCAAACTACACATCTGGAAATTATTGTGATCCCATTCATGCTTTATCTCGCAAAACAGCCTATAAGCTCATGGAAGACAAACGTGACCTCACATATACCTGTATGCCTCCCAGCCCCCATAGCTTGCCTTAACTTCCCAAATAGTGATGCTTACAGACAGACAGAAGGTGTAGATCTTAATGGTTACATTGAATTGAGTCACCTAATTAAAGTCTACTTTTTATATTTTCTGAAGTACCAAGAGGAGAATTATACACA